AGCTATCTTGATAGACTGCATAAAATTATTTTTAGTTTGCTTTTTTAAAAAAATCTTAGGGATTGGTCAATTTTTTAAAAAAACATGAAGTTCCCTTCTACTTTAAAATAAATGGGGTTCAGTTACTGGCAGTATCCCTTTTCCTGCACAGGAAACCATACTGTTTTCTGGAGTCATGACTGTTTTGTTGAATTTAATTAGATTCCCTACACTCGAATTTTCAGAATAGGATTGTTCTGAACACACAGAAGTAGATACAACATTTAGGTCATTTAAAGCCAAATCCCCATAGAATTCCTAATGATCTTCCCTACTCTTCAATGTTTTATATCTGTATGGAAAATCCAAACAATGAATATACTCAATAGCTATATTTCTATATTATAGCTGGAATATGTTCAAGAAAACAGAAAATTGCAATTAACATTACAGGAACTTAAGAATCATTCTGGCATCCTATTTTCACATTCATCAGGCAGATGCCATGGTAAGACTAGTAGCACATTAAGTTTCCCTTTCTTACATTCCTCAGCAAATGAAAGACATATTCTCTATGACACTAGAGGTAATATATAGTTATCATAACTAATTGTCATGTATAACTAATTGGAATATTCTCCTGAACAGAAGTCTTCTAAATATGTCATAATTATTTGAAAATGTTTTTTAGGAATAGAATTGAAAAATGAAAATGCCTGTTCTGGACAATTTTACTGTTGGTTTCTGGCAAACCATTTTAAAAAGTGAGGATGCTTTCCAAAGAAGGCTGTTACATTTCATGGATTTTTTTAAAAAATGAAGTCAGACATTCCATTAAGCATACTTAAAATCAATTGTCACATCTCAGCCAACCCTGCACCACTGAATGCCAGCTATAATTTTAAATTAGAATTCTCAACTCTCTCCAAAATCTCTGTGATACTTTAAAGCTCTGACAAAATGTTTGTGTGTTTGTGTGTGTGCGTGCACACGCATTATGTTATTGCCTTTTGCAATGTTATGTTTGTTATGTTGTGCAAAGCACAGAAACAAAATGGTAAGCCATAAAGATCCGAGACAAGAAAAGGAAACAGAGCTAGATCAACTGTATATCCACTCAGTTCAAAGCACTTCATTATCTTCTTATTCTTGCAAACCATCCATGCTGCCACCACATACATCAAACATCACTTCATATGTTGCTCTTTATTCTTTAAATTTCTCACCTCCCTTTCTTTGTGGATCTCATTCATTTCCATCCAGCTAGAGTTTTCCCCATGGTTCAACACAGTCATTCTTACTTCGTATCTCTATTTTTGAAAGGACTTGAAGATAGGGGAAGAAAGGAGTGGGCTGTTAAAGGAGGACCTGCAGAAAAGATTGCAAGTCCTGAGAAATAGGGAAGACATACGCCCATCCTGATTTTTTTAAGTATAAGTTGGGCCTGGGGAAAACTTTTGAGATTCTGTTATTCCATCTGGCTACAATAAAGAGTGTTCCTGGAATTGTTCCTGCAGTGCCTATTTCTTGATTTGTCTACCCTGAAGGGCTAATAGTTTTGCAATTTGATCCTCTTTTTTTTTTCTAACCAAACCGTTACAAATTTCTTCTGTGCTGGTTCTTTACTTTTGTATTGAATGCATCACTTCAGTATCCATTTATTACTGACCCTGTCTTCCTCCTCCTCAGCCCTTTTTAAATAATCTGTTCCACTTTCATTCACTTCACTGATTTTTTTCTAATTTTTATCTTAAATGACATAATCCATTCTCACTTCCATGTAATAAAACTTTGCTTATTTTTATTTATTCTGTGCAACAACCACATGCTATTCATTACTTTTTTTTTACCAAAATTTGCACATCTTAATTTTTTTCCACTTTTCCATTTTAATTAATATGCTGCCAAGATACACAGTCATATATTATACAAAGTCATATACTTATTCTAGTTTATCATTTATATATAAATGACAATCATTCATTCCATTTTTCCTGTCAAACACTACCACCTGCAAATTTATGTATTTAATACATAAATGTTCAGATTCATGCTTTTTAATCATACAATTTGTCAACATTTACTGCAAGTTATTTGGATTTTCAGCCAATAACACATCCCTAATACACAATAGTATGCACACCCTCACATCACCCATCAACAAACCTCTAACACCAACATAGGCATTCCTTATACATCTATTCTGAGCTGTGGTGGTGCAGTGATTAGAATGCAGTATTGCAGACTAATTCTGCCAACTTCTAGCAGTTTGATCCTGACCAGCTTAAGGTTGACTCAACCTTCCATCCTTCCGAGGTTGGTAAAATGAGGATCCAGATTGTTGAAGGCAATATGTTGATGCTGTAAACAACTTAGAAAGGGCTGTAAAGAACTGTGAAGCGGTATATAAGTCTAAGTGCTAGTGCTGTTGCTATTCATAAATATGAAAAAGCAAGGGAACTTTGTGTATCCATGTCTTACTGCCTTCTCACTGTTTGTCCATTGCTCAATATTCATTTATTGTCATACATACTTCAAAACAACTTACTTTCTCTGGATCAATCACCATACAACCAATTTTCTTTTCCCCATACATACATTTCTCAATAATTAAACAAAAACTTAGTCTCTATACCCTTTGTCCAGAATAGATATATTGCATTTCTCTTATTTTGCTGCAACCTTTTGTATGTTTGATCAGATCTGATGTTGATCAGATAGTTTCCCACTGACACAAATGAATTCCCAATAGTTTTTGCAATTATTATTGTTAGACACATTCTGGTATAGATAGATGCAAACTTCATACACATATTAAACAAGCTGCAAAGCTGTTCCATATTCAAACCACATCCAGCGTTTAACATTTCTGCAGTGGTGCCATCTACATTTGCACTGTTAAGTTTTTTTAACATTGTTACTGATTTATTTCTTCTTCTTGGATCCTATAATTTATACTATTTGTTTCAATTCCATTCTTGATATATTACTATTAGTCCCTTACAAATCTATAAAATACTTCTTTCTGCAATCATTCCTTTCAGCATTATCTTGAATAATTTAATCACTTTTATTTTTGATTCCATTCATTCTGGTAAACTTCCATGTTTAACTTTTTTCAACCATTTCCAAAATAATTTCCATAAAAGTCACTGCAATTTCTTTGCCTCTTTTAATCACTTTAATGCACTTTAGTTGCATTCTTTGTAAATACCTTTTTCTCTATATTATGCAATATTTTACTCTGCAGCACCATTTTCTTGAATGTTCTTTCCCTATCCATAGCTTCTTCCATTTCATCTTTCCAAAAGCATCCTTTTTCATATTATCCCATTATGTGGGTTAGATTTTTATATGATAGTGTCAATTTTAGGGGGAAATGAGCATGGAAGAAAAAGGAAAGAAGCTAAAGTGAAACAGTTGCAGGAAAAGAAATTACAAGTCCTATATGAACAGTACTAACCAGACAAGATCTTAAGAGAACAAATAGAAAATAGGTATAAGGAAGGAAAATGTGCCACTCTGTAACATAATACTTTTCACTATATTCAAAGCAACTTCCACATTTTCCTTCCTTAAACCTACTTTCTATTTGTTCTCTTGAGACCTTATCTGGTTAGTACTGTTCATATAGGACTTGTAATTTCTCTTCCTGCAACTGTTTCACTTTAGCTTCTTTCACTTCTTTCCTTTTTCTTTCGTGCCCATTTCCCCCTAAAATTGGCACTATCATATAAAAATCAATCCCACATAAACAATCTCATATCTTTCTATCTTCCACTAATTCTCTCACTGGAGACTATTAAATTAGTCATACTTTTTATATGTATTCCTTTCCCATAGATATAAATAGCAGACCTAGACAGGTTGCTTACCAACTGTCTCATTCACATCTGTTTGAAGTTATGACAGTGCTGAAAAAATACAACCAATGTCCACATTCATGACAGTTGCAGTTCCCCTAGTCAGTACACAATGTCTTGTGTCTGAACTATTATTTTTCTTTTCCTCTCCTTGCAGAGCAGAGAGATCGGAGAGAAAGGGATTAAAGGGAGTAAGCAGGCAAACAATGGGTAATATACTGGGCTATTAGCATACCATTCTTGCAATTGCCAACGCATTGCTTTTGATATGTATGCCCCATTGTGTGCCTACTTGCTCTATTATAATCCCTTCCTCTTCAATGAATGTAAGCACAAACTTTAATTCCCTTCTTGCTAATAATTCCAATGCCAGGATGGGCATTACAAAGGGCAGGGGAGTAGTTAGGAGGCAAACAAAAGCCATTAGTGTGAACTGATTAGTATTCTCAGTTTCAATCCATAAAGTATAATCATGGTTATATGGTTTTTTACTTAGTGACCACTTCGCTTAGTGATGGAGTTTCCAGTCCCAAACAAAGATTACCTGCACTTAAACCATGCATGCTAAAGAGTCCATCTCATTTATTCTGATTTAGTTTTATAACAAATAAGTACTTACCTTTACACAATAAGTAGAGCACAAATATGCATAAACTCAAGATTAGAAGCTTGGCTGGGAAACACGCATATTACATTAGCCCTTAGTGACTTGCAAGGGTATTTTGGAGATGGTTAATAAAGAATTCAATTTAGTTTTATGGTTAGACATTAAAATATTTTATGCTGTAAAAATGGAGGTCCATATCACCTTGAAACTTGCTCTTTCTTATACCACATATAGTGATGATATTATTATCCTTGCTATCAGTAGTTATCAGAGAATGGAGAAGAAAAAGAAAGAAGTATCTAATAAAGTCTTCAAATTTAAAAACTAGAAATTAAAACAAATATATTTGCACTGGCTCATCAGACTTGAACAAAGCATAAAGAATTATTAAACAGAATGTCTGAAATTTCATATATTTTAAGATTTGGCTATTTATAGTGCTCAAACACCTTTAGCACAAAATACCAATTACAGATAAATTTGCCAATCCCTATATTTGAAACCTAAATGCCACCTAAATAATTATTTCAAAAAGCAATAATTTTTTTTACCATATTCACCAAAACGAAGAGATTCCCATTGCTGTCGTTCAACAATACTGCTTACTGCTCGGACACCAGCATAAATTACCAGCATTCCTAAAGTGGCATCTAGCAAAAAATTGATAAGATATCTGAAGGGACGAGAAAAACACACACAAATTTAAAGATTGATTTTTTAAAAATTGTGTAGCTTTGATGATTGAAATCATCTATCAACATCTATTTTTAGCTTCTGAAAATACACTCCCATTTTCCAGTCTGAGCAATAAAAACATGTCAATAATAATAATGGCACTTCTATGTGTACAGGCAAAGAACCTCAATTTTAGTATAGAATTCGAAGATAACCTACAGCATATTATTCTTTTAGGTCATTCATACAGCTCTGATAGCAGGATCAACTACTAAGGATTTTTAATATATACTTCATAAAATTATAAAAGTGAGAAAGCAAACAGGGAGATAGAAATGGCCTAATTGAAAAAGGAAGTCAATCTAAGCATTTTTTTAAATATAAAAACTGTAACTTCTAATACACAAACAGATATTATTCTCTGCCTCATTTAAATCAGAAGCAATACTATTTTTAAACACAGTTTTTAGCATAGCATGGACACACAGAGAGGAAAGTATGACATACTCATTAGCATGTTGCAGTAGGGTCAGGACAACCTAGATTCAAAACCCTGCTCAGCCACAAAGCTGATTAGATAACCTACCACGTGCAGCAACTGCATGAGTAAAAATTGGAGAGGAAATTCTGCACCACACTGAGCTCTTTCAAGAAACAGCAGTTTAAAAATGCAACAACCAAAATTGCTGTTTAATTAATTTGCAAATGCTTGAGTACATAAAATATAGCATAAAAGAAAAATACAATGTTTTATTTTTCTTTTTTAAAAAACCCATTATTAGGATATGAAAGTCTATAAACCAGACTGAGTAGCTAGAATAATTTGAGCAATTATTACATATAAAAACCAGCAGAGGTCACTGTTGCTTTAGCTAATACAAAAGTGGACAATTGTTTCACAGTTGACTGCATGTTAGTCAGTTTTTGTGGTACTGTTTATGCCACTTGACAATGGAATGTAGTATACTGTTTTAATTTTAATTTATTCATCAATTACAGCATCAAAGCAATAGCAGAAAATGGTTTTCTGTAGATATTCTGTGCATATTTATCAACTTGATGTGAAGGTCAGGCTAAATATAAATGGTAAAAGCACTCTGGGTGATTTTATCTTAGCAAAAATAAGGAAACAGATTTTAGATTGTTTTTTTTTTAAAAAAATTCCAATCTAATCTACAAGTCTTGGGTGTTTTTATGGGTCGTCATCAAAGAACCAATCAGTATAACCTTGTTCAGCTTTAGTTTTAATAAAATTAGCTAAGGTTAGCTAAAAAATGCCGACTATCATGACAAGTATCAGCTACTTGCTATATTGCAGAGCCTGGAGACTCTTAAATTCAATAGGGCAGTGCTCTCACAGCCCAAAACATCATCTAGAGAGATAAAGGAAAAGTTGGCTCTGGAGTAACAAAGAAAAATGTATAACAGCCGGCGAACAGGGAAAAAAGTCCTAAAAGTCTTTCCAGAGGGCACCAATCAATTTTCCACCATGACTACAAAAGTAAAATATTAGGAAGAAAAAAGAAGAGAAGGCAGATTAAAGAATTCAAGTGATATAGTATCATTGATTATTGTCTTCAGCACTCAAGAGGAGATATTTTTGGTTCCATATCAGGTCTAGCCAGTACTTCTATGGTAACAATATGCTAATTTTGAAAAATAAACTTGGTGCATATCTTGGCATTCTTGTTAGCTGAACTTCAGTAAGATTTTTCTCCACTTACAGTGAACAGGGATCCTCTTCAGTAAGGTCTGATAAATATACATTGGCAAAATGGATGAACATCATCCCTATGGCTTGTTTGGAAGTATCCAAAAACCTACAAAAATTAAGTTTTTAGACATCAAATTGAATAATTGACTGCATGTTTTAATTTATATAGTTATAATTTATATATCTTGAACCTCCCCTCATCCACAAACATGGCTGATATTATAGTTTTATTCTAGAATAAGGGGCAAGAAGAGTTATGGAGTTTCACATTTAGCTATGAGAGAGCAAAATACTGATATTTTAAAGACTGCGAAGCATTTAATGGCTTTTTGGAATCAAGACAAATTTCTCTTTAAATAGTATTCACTTCTGAAATCTTGCAAATTTCTTGTGTGAAAGGACTAGCATGCACAATAGCAATTGACAGTAATCAAACATTTGAATAAAATATACATCTCATTATTCTAGAACATGGGCCAATTTAAATGGGTTAGAGACTAAAACCTATTTTTAACAAATGTACTGAACATGGGACAAATAATAAGTGTACCATACAGGTAGTTCTCAATTTACATCCAAAATTGAGACCAGAATCTTCAGTTACTGAGTGAAGCAGACATTAAGTGAGATGTCTGTCACATGACTGCTTTGTTCAAACCTCTTGGTTGCAGTCATTAAGCAATCTCCTAGGTCATTAAGTGAATGGAATAAAAGTGCTGTGTGCTGAAGGGATTCAGCTCTACACAGGACCATAATCCTTTGGGAGGCAGCTTCTTTGCTCTCAAAGAAGCTGGATAAAAAAATTTTGTTCTGAAATCTAAGCAGGATTTTGGGATTGAGCAGGGGTGTCAAACTCACGTCATCACGGCAGCGTCACGTGACGTATTGGGACTTTTTTCTCCTTCACTAAACTAGGTGTGGGCATGGCCAGCATGTGATGCATCTGGCCCGTGGCCCCGAAGTTTGACAGCCCTGGCATAGAGCATTTGCAGCCAGCCCCCACAGAAAGAGAAGCCCCTATGGTTTCTGGGAGCTGGCTGCAAATGCCCCATGCTGCAAACATTCTGTGCCAAGATCCTGCTTGGATTTCAGGATTTACAGTCAGCCCCCAGAAACCAGAGGGAGTTCTTTCAGTGGTAGCAACTTGTGACCTTCCCTTCTGGTTTCTCATTGATTTTTTGGGAAAGCTGGCAGGGCAGGCTGCAAATGGGCATCACATGTTAGTGGGACCCTTGGCAACCAGTCATACATGCAAAAGAATTGTGCTCAGATTACAATCAGGTGACTCTGAGGGCAGTTCAATATATCATATAATTTCAGGCATACGTTGCAAATCCCTTCATTTAGTGCCCTCCTGATTTTGAATGGTCACTGAATGACTGCTAGTTAAATGAGGACTCTCTGTATGGAAGTTCTCTTGGATTTTATGCTTCATAAGCTTGTTGTAGAATTGCCACCAGGAAAAAGTATGAAATTTTATTTATGTATTAAATGTATATGCTTTAGGTTTAGCAATAAAGAGCATTACTGTAATATGGAAAGTAATGACACTTTCAATTGCCTTTTAAAAGCAAGACAATTAAAAAAATATTGTTGGAAATAGACGACTGAACAAAAACTGGAATCTATATTGCCAATAACATAATCTTAAATTTCTATTACTTACAGAGTATAACTGGCTACTCCTACATTTTAGCAAGATTTGCTCCTTTATAAAAGATAGAGTGAAGAGTTAATATTTATATAAAACATTGTCATATTACATCTTTTATAATTAATTACTCCCAGCCTGCAAAAACAGTAGACATTTACCAAATTCTCCAAGGACGTCTTTCATGCTTTGGTTCTCTGAAGCGTTTCACTGAAAGAAAATTAGCAACTATTAGTAGGCTATCAACTAGTCATCCACCCAGATGGAATCTATATGCAAAGGTGGTATATTCGTAAAATGATATGGTACTCAACACCAAGATTCTCTGTTAGTAATTAAACCCAGGTGTGTTATTGTTAATGCACACTTTCTTTCAATCTTGTCTCTTACAATCTGCAATTCAATAAATAGAACCACTTTAAAACCAGTCCCATGGCTCATCTAGGGTAGGATAAGATATTAATCATTCCATTAAAAGAAATTAGGAATTTCATGCAACTGAAAACAACTGAAGAAAACTATTTAAAGCAAATTGGCAATAAATAAATTGAAGGTCATAAGAAAAACGTAAGCAAACAATTAGTAGTGTGCTTATTGTTTCAACTAACGTGACCATTGTGAGCATTTTATCTTTAAAGCCAATGCCTGAACTAGTAAAAAAAAAAAAAAAAGCACTCAACCTACTTTCCACCTGCATGATTCTAGAGAAACAGAAGTGGGTTCTAATGTATTTTTTTTTAATAGCTCAGAAATAATACTAAAGAGACCATTTATTTAACTACCAAAAACAAGGATTCAGTGATTGAGCTGTTCATACATTTTGTCAATATTAACCAGGAAGATAAGTTGTTTCCAGTTAGCAAGTTTTTTAGGGCAGAATTGTAGAGACAAAGTCACGTAGTTAAATCACAAATGCAAATAATAGATTCAGTAGGTTGGTTATAAATAGAAAAAACATACACGAAGAGATGATACCTATAAGATACACACACACACACACACACAATTTCCCATATTCAATCATGTTCAGTTCTCCAAGACAGGTTCCTGCAGTTTTCTTTGCAGGGTTTTTTCAGACGTGGTTTGGCATTTCTCTTTCCTAGGGCTGACAGAAAGTGACTACTCCAAGACCACCAGCTGGCTTTGTGCCTAAGGTGGGTGGGACTAGTCTACCAGTTCCTAGCTGGATGCCTTAATCATTATTGTACACCAGGGGTGGGAAACTATGGCCCTTTTATGACCTGTGGACTTCAATTCCCAGAATTCCTGAGCTGGCTGGCTCAGGAATTCTGGGAGTTGAAGTCCACAGGTCATAAAGGGACCATAGTTCCCCACCCCTACTGAACACCAAACTGGCTCTCGGAGAGATGCAGTTCAAACAGCATTTTCAAGAATATCAACACTGCGTTCTGAAAATGCAAAGCTTTGGCTGAATTGCTTGACAAAATGCAAGATAACTTATAAACAAAGATAATCATAGGGGTATGAAGAAAAGAAAAAAATTAAATAAAACTACAGAAGGTCTCCTTTCTTATATACTGTATCATGCTTTGGAAGAAAGTAGATTTATCTAATATCTCCCAGTCATTCATCTCTGATAATATTTATAATGATAGTCCAAAATAAAGCCATTTTATTCTGTATTCTTCAGATTGCCCCTTACATCATCCAAATTCTTGCAGTCTTGATTCTTCTGTCATCTATTTGTCACCAAGATCAAATAGAGGATTGACTGTCACCTTATGATGACTGGAATACTCTTGATTCTTATTATCAGGGGGGAAAAAGTTTAAATATGTAAGTATTATGTCCAGCCTCTTGCCTTATTATTTCCACATTATATTCCACATATTTGAAAGAAAAAAAAATGAATTACTTAGAACTAATATCCCTCAGCAAATTCTGAAACACTTTCCCCCTAAATCTAAGGAGCTTCATAACCAGTTTAAGTTTGAAAAGGTTTTAATGACAGCAATAAACCAAACTTTCAAGCTTAGAAAATGAACATCATAATGTATTGGCCTTTTGCCAATATTTTTGTTAGCATTACACTTTGCCTGTAGTAACAAGTTAGATGAACCTGAATGAACAAAAATCCATTTTTTCTGTGGTTTATTTTTCATAGTTTTTCATAGTTGAAAAGCACAATTTCCATCTATGTTCATCCAAATGAATCCTGATTTAAATACATTACAAGTGTATAAACTAAAACGAACGTTGTCTTACCTGAACGTTCCTTTTCAGCTCTCTGCGACTGCAATCCACCTCTGGGTTCTCTTCTTCCTCGCTTCCTATTGACTGGGTGATTCTTTTTAACTGTCTCTCCGTGCTGTGGCCACGCCCACTTTCCCATGATGCACCAGTCTTTGAACGAAGGCGTGACCACCTAGTAGGCAAATCAAAATCTCAGAACAAGCCATATAAACTTCAAAACTCTGGAACCCGTAAAAAACACAAAAAATCAGAAATCAACAGGGCGGGTGTGGATTGCAGTCGCAGAGAGCTGAAAAGGAACGTTCAGGTAAGACAACGTTCGTTTTCCAGCCCTCTGCTCCTGCAATCCACCTCTGGGATATACCAAAGTTCAAATCCCAGGGCGGGAAAAACTACTTGGACTCAGCCTCCTGGACCTCAAGCACACTTTGGAGAACACGTCGCCCAAAAGATGCTTCGGCCGAAGCATACGTATCAATTCGGTAATGTCTGATGAAGGGTGTCACCGAAGACCAAGTAGCGGCCCGGCATATGTCTGAAACTGAAGCCTGCGTAGCCCAGGCGGCCGACGCTGCCGCACTACGAGTAGAGTGAGGTAAGATGCGACGCGGCACCGGACGAGAACGTTGTTTGTAAGCTGTAGCTATGCATGTCTTTATCCACCTGCCCACTGTGGATGAAGAGACCTTGTGGCCCAAGGAAGGTGGATGAAACGACACCAGAAGAGCCTCAGTTTTACGGATGGATTCGGTCCTGCGAATATAACGACGTAGAGCCCTACGCACATCAAGGGTATGCCAGTCTTTTTCGCGTTGATGTTTCGGCGACGGGCAAAAATCCGGAAGGATAAGTTCCTGAGCCCGATGAAAATATGAGTTCACTTTAGGTAAGAATGCTGGGTCCAAACGTAGTATTACTGTACTAGGTTGAAAAATACAGAGATCTTTTCTAATCGATAAGGCGGAAAGCTCAGACACCCGTCTGGCCGAAGTGATCGCCAAAAGAAAGGTCAACTTGAAAGACAAAAACTTTAAAGGAATAGACCCCAAAGGTTCAAAAGGAGGGTACATCAAGGTCTGAAGAACAAGGGAAAGGTCCCAGGTCGGGTACCTATGAACGACAGGTGGGCATAGATTTACTGCTCCATGAAGAAATCCCTTAAGTAACGGATGCATAGACAAAGACGAGTATGGGGGGCACCGAATAACCGTAGATAATGCAGCCGTCTGACGACGAAGGGTAGATGGTGACAACCCTTTGTCTAAGCCGGATTGCAGAAAACACAGCACGTCCTCTATCTGGGCTGAAGTAGGGTCCACCAGGTTGGCCGCACACCAGCGACAGAAAGCCCTCCAGGAAGAGTCGTATATCCGTGAAGTTGACGGCCTACGAGAAGCTTGAATCGTACTTATGACGGAGTCGGGCAGTCGGTCCTTTCGCAATATAAGCCGCTCAAACGCCAAACGGCCAATTGGAGCCATTCTGGCTCTGGGTGGTCGATGACCCCTTGGCGTAGGGCGATGCGGTCTCGTGGAATCAGCCATGGTGGACGAGACGATAAGGCCACAAGATCTGCGTACCACTGTCGACGAGGCCAGTTGGGAGCCACCAGGATCAATTCGGCCCTTTCCTCCAAGAGCCTCCGAATTACCTGAGGAATCAAGGGAATTGGGGGAAAGGCGTACAAAAGCCCCTGGGGCCAGCGGCATCGCAGCGCATCGTGATCCATCGCCGACTGGCAAGGGTAACGAGTCACATACAGTGGAAGTTGAGCATTCGACGGACTGGCGAACAAGTCCACGATAGGCGTGCCGAATAGAAGGATGGCTTCGTGAAAGAGCCGCGGATGCAGCTGCCATTCCGAGTGATCGAGACTTTGTCTGCTTAGCCAGTCTGCCCGCACGTTGTCTACGCCGGAGATGTGATCGGCTCTCAAGGAAAGAAGGTGGCGTTCCGCCCACCGGAAGAGACTCTCCGCTTCTAACATCAGAGACCTCGAATGAGTCCCGCCTTCTTTGTTTACATGGGCCTTGGCTGCAATGTTGTCCGTGAGGACAAGGACGTGGTGACCCTCCAACTGAGATTGAAAATGTTGGAGGGCCAGGCGGATTGCTCTGAGTTCCAACAGATTGATGTTGTGGCCTCTTTCTGGAACGGACCAACGACCCTGCACCACCTGATGTTGGAGGTGGGCTCCCCAGCCGCGAAGGCTGGCATCCGAAGTTAGAGTCATTCTGTGTTGAATCAGAAAGTGCGAGCCCTTGCTCACGGCTGCTCCCATCCACCACCGAAACGACAGTCGAAGTTGGGGTGGAAGGTATACTTTGTGAAGGGAATCGCTGCGTCCTGAGCGCTGGTAAGGGAGCAGAAACCATTGCAGTGGCCTCGCGTGACGTCGTGCCCATGGAACAATTGAGAAGCACGACACCATCTTCCCCAGCAGTCGTGACAGCTGGAGAAGGGGGACGGAGCGATGAGACAGAACTTGACGTATCAGGTCTTGAAGACTTGAGATCCTGTCTGGCGATAGAAAAACCTGGCCCCGAATAGAATCTATCACTGCCCCCAAGTGCAGCAGTGATGTGGACGGGTAAAGGTGACTCTTGGGAAAATTTATGGAGAATCCGTGATTCTGGAAGGCCATGACGACAAGATGAAGGTCTCGAGCTGCCTGACTCCTGGACGATGACAACACCAGGATGTCGTCGAGGTAACAGAGTACCCGCACCGGGATCTTTCGGAGTGACGCCACCACTACAGCCACTAATTTTGTGAAGGTTCTTGGGGCGGAGGATAAACCAAAGGGCATTGCGCAATATTGATAATGATCGTCCCCAATTTGAAAGCGCAGAAACTTCCTGTGTGAAGGAGACACTGGGACGTGCAGATATGCCTCCCTGAGGTCGACCGATTGAAGGAGGTCGCCACGATGAACCCCCCCCAAGATGGACCCCAGGGAGTGCATCTTGAATCTGCGGTAGCAAATGAACAGGTTT